GAGGGACTATTTGGGCTTGTGCCGAAGACTTGGTGTTGACGACATTCCCATCTTCCCCTCTTCTTCGTCTAACCCCCCTCTTCTTCGTCTGTGTATGAATGGGGCTGGCGTAGTCTTCCTGTGTGAGCGCCAGACCGCTTCACACCATGGAATGATGATGATGATGTATGTTCGGGGCTGCATTTCAACATTGATTGTTTCGGATCATTGGTATCTAAGTCTTCCGCTACGCTATCTTGTACTTTGTATTGAGAGGTCGGTTCTTGTTCTGGTCTGCACTGTTACAGCATGCAACAGTCTGGTATCTGAGCGGACCTCTCATTCAGAGGACCCGCTCAATCAAGTAGCCAGCTTGCTTGATCTATTGATTACTCATTAGTAAATCAAGTAGGACTTCGTCAAATCTCTGAATTTTGTTTTTCTTTTCTCGCAACAACTATCTGAAAATTTTTGATAATCGCATTTCGTTGTACCTGAAAATTTCTGATATTAGTATTTCGTTTTCACGCAACAAATATTTGAAAATTTTTGACAATTGCATTTCATTTTCTCTTAGAATTACTGATAGTAGCATTTCGTTTGTCTGATATTTCGCATACATAGCTGAAAATTTTGAGGTTAGTATTTCGTTTTCTAGGCATATTAGGATAACGATAGAAGTGGTCATATTCTCGAAAACCGGATTTATTCTTTTCTAAAAATCGAATCTCCATTCTATCTCGCAATTTTTATTCGGAAACCGAAATCTTGCGAAGCCTACCAACATTTCTTTAGGCATATTCGGAGGTTGCCATATTCTCATAAACTGGATTTAGTTCTTTTCTGAAAATCGCATCTCTATTCTACCTCGCAATTTTTTTTTTTCAAGATCGCATTTTGTGAAAGCCGAAACTTTGCGGAACCTAGCCTAGATCTCGCTCATAGTACTCTTCTGACAATGTCTCTTTCATAACAGATGGACATATATACAAAAAAGTAGTCCTCTTTTATTTTTTTAATTTTTTATCTGTTGATTAGGGCCGGGAGGAAAGTATTGTTGGGTGGGTTACCTACCTACGTTTTCCCTCCCACCCACCCCTTTGCATGCATTTCCAAGTTGGTACAGGGCCACGTCAGCAGTGCCACGTCAACAGTGCCACGTCAACAGTGCCATGTCAGGTACAGTGCCACGTCAGCAGTGCCACGTCAGCAACAGTGCCATGGCAGCAGTGCCACGGCAGCAACAGTGCCACGGCAGCAGTGCCACGTCAGCAACAGTGCCATGTTAGCAGTGCCACGTCAGCAACAGTGCCACGTTAGCAGTGCCCCGCCACCATGACGGGCGCAGCTCTGGGCATGCCAGGCCAACTGGCCAACGAGTCTATTGCCGACTACAAACAGCGGTTCCAGACTCAACTCGCATTGATCGAGGCTGAGGAACAGCGCCAGCTGGCAGCCAAGGTTGCCCGCCTACAGGCTGAAGCAGCGGCAACAGCTGAGAAGCAGCGGCTTCAGGCCGAAGGAGATGCAGATACCAGGGCACGCCGCAAGGAAGCCCAGCATCTGTTGCAGCGGCATGAAGCCACTAGCATGGAAAAGCTCAAGTATTGGCACTTTGAACCATCTGAAGGGCACGACGACGCGACACCGGAAGAGCAGCACAGGGAACTCATGGCCAAACTCGTGACTCGGTTGGTTTACACTTGTAACCACCTGCAGTCCGAGCTGGCGAATATGCAGCGGGTCATGCGGAACCACAAGGCTCACCATGAGGATGCAGCACGGGCACTTGATTCCCGTATGCAGGACTTGGAGCAAGTTGCACCAAGATCGGAGGCTGGCGAGTCCAGCAGTGCACCCTCTGCCCGCCAACTGGAGCAACGAGTCGATCACGTCGTCGCAATGCTCGGCGAGATCAGCACCTTCAATGCGCCAACCACCATCAGCAAACAGCTGGATACCTTGAAGACCGAGGTTCTGCCTAACAAGTATGGCAACAACACAACGCATTATAAGATGCCGACATTCCAAATTGAGAAGTTCGATGACTACACGCATCAAGATCCGGTCCTCTGGTGGGAAGGCTTTACGACGCAACTTCGGATTTTGTTCGTCGCCAAGCACGCGTACATCGGCGCCCTGTTTCTCAACTCAAAGGGCTGATGCCAGATCTGGTTAAGCCACCTGGCATCCATCCACAGCGTCGACGTCGCAGATCTGAAAGGTAAGATTTCATGGGAAAAGCTAACACGGCTATGGAAGAAGTGGTTCATCGTGGACGACGCACCTGCACTCTCCAACAACCGTTTCTTCGGCATGACGCAAGGCAACACAGCAACACGTGACAGGCTCACGGAATGGCGGACTTCCAATGGATGCCCCTTCCTCGATCCGGTCGATTGCCGAAACCGCATTTCAACGTGCTCATGGCACAATTGCGGGATTACTTGCACACTGCAGTACCAATTCCGTTGATGGACGCCGGAGTAGAGGTTGTCGACCTTCACGCCTACATTGCGAAGATCGACCGCGAGTTCAAGACGCAACCGTACGACGACATCGACGCACTATTGTTATATGTACGCATTCAGATCGGACAGACGACCTGCAACGCTTTGATCGATTGCGGAGCATCTCGCAACTACATGAGCCAGGACTTTATGGTACGCGCCGGCCTTGGCCCACGCGTCCGGAGGAAGTCCCAGCCGACGCAAGTCACGTTGGCTGACGGTCACACGCACAAGTCAATCGACCGGTGCATTGATGACGTCCCAGTGTACTTTGCCCCGTATGCAAGCGAGGCGGTGTCCTTCGATATCTTGGACACCAAATTCGACATGATCTTGGGCATGTCATGGCTGCGAAGCGAGGATCACCCGGTGACTTCTATCGCCGCACCGTTTACGTTCGTGATCGGAACGGAGTAGTAGTCCCATGCACGGTAGCTCCTCCCCACCCTTCGATCAGCTGCCATATGGTGTCCGCCGCAAGCATGCGAGCTTCCATCATCAGAGACGACATCGAGGAGATGGGGGTGTGTTTTCTACACGCCCTCCCGCCCCATGACGCTTCATCGACGGACTCATCTTCGGACCCACGCATCACCGAGCTTCTCGACGCCTACGGCGACGTGTTCGAAGGCCCGCACAGAGTAGTACCGGATCGGCCCATCCGCCACGAGATCATCCTCGAGGACGGGGCCGTACCTCCCCGCGGTTGCATCTACCGAATGAGCGAGGAAGAGTTAAGTGTGCTACGGGCACAACTCGATGACCTTTTGGAGAAAGGCTGGATTCGGCCTAGCTCGTCGCCATACGGTGCTCCTGTTCTCTTCGTCCGGAAGAAGAACAAGGATTTGCGGTTGTGCATCGATTATTGCAAGCTCAACGCGCAAACGATCAGAAACGCCGACCCTCTTCCACGCATCGACGACCTTCTCGAACAGCTGGGCTGTAACGAGCGTGAGGCTGAGGGTGAGCCGAGGGAGATGTGAGAGAGGGAGAGAGTGAGAGCACACACACACACTCACTCACTCGACACGACGGACTCGGACTGAGGGTCGGACGCAGACACAGTGGCAAGGCACCAAGTCGAAGTCTTGGATTCCGAATGCCGAAACGGCAAGTCACACTGAGTACGAGTACAGCAGCTGAGAACTGGTCGAAACTCGTCCCCGTACCGTACGGGGAGCCGGCATAAGTACCGGTGACACGTACGGTACGAGGGGCATTTCTGCAAAGGCCCCGAGGGCAGAACTGAAAAATGCAGTATTCGAAAGTGGCGCCCGAATTGCAGCATGGCGCCAGTTGTCCAAAATCCTACGGTACCAAAGGAGGGGTTTGGAAAAAGGGTGCCAGGCCGAAAACGGGATGCAACCGAAACAGCAAAAGATAGACCAGGGATCGAGCCCTGGCGAAGTCCGTAACACTATCCCCTCCCTCTAGAAGGCAACGTCCCGGCTGCCAAAAATCATGAAGCAATGCTGAAATCTGTGAAGGACGGGACGGGGCC